CAGGAAGCACCTGGATCCCAACCCATCTGGCAGCAAGGATGCACCAATAATGGTGGTGTTTTCCTATTTATCAACCACAAATCCATTTCAGTATCAACAAGCAAGCTGAAGTCCCTCAAAACAGCTGCCAGGAGGTTTCCATCTGAGTGGGCTTTCACAGCATCCAAGCCACAGAAAGATACATGGTCCAAAAAAGGAGCAGTGTTGCTTACGTTGCTATGCTAGGGTGAGGGTTAAAGGCTATATAACTTATTCCAAATGCTGGAATATCTAGTCCTTTCCAGAAGACTAGCCTAAAATATTAATCTTTAGGAATTCTTTGCAAAATTACTTATAATGAGTATTTTATTTACTAGTGAGCCATTTAGAAATAGCTTTCTTCAGTGGTTTTAATGCATCACTGAAGGGAAGCTTTAAGATGAGCAGACTTGAGCACTGTAATCATCATGTTTGCATTGTTAAAACTGACAAGATCAACAAACCATGGCCCTGGACACTTCCAGGGATGAAGCAACCACAGTTTCTCTGGGCAACCTGCTCAAGTGCCCTGCCACTCTCAGATTATTTTTTCCCCTCTAATATCTAATCTAAACATCCTCACTTCTGATTCGAAGCTGTTCACTGTTGTCCTGTAGTTACAGGCTGTTATGAATAATCTTTCTCCATCTTTCCTCTAAGTTCCCTTCAGGGACTGGAAGGCTGCATTAGGGCACCCCAAAGTCTTTTCTCTCCAGGCTGCACAATCTCAGCTTTCTCAGCCTTTCCTTGTTAGCACAGCTGCTCCATCCCTCTGATCATCATCATATTAAAATTTTCTATGAAGTTAACAGAAGAGACAATATCAGGAAGGACAAAGCTGTCCTATGTTAAGAATTGTGTTCCTTCAGGTAGATTTTTGAATAGGGCCTTACCCAAACCTGGGTCCATTCCCAGCTATAGCCCTATGTTGATCACAAGTCTATCAAATGCTGATTTTTTTGGTATTTAGAACGTGTTGGGCAGGCCAATTTCTTGGGTTTGATTCGGCCTTCTTGTAATTTTAGAGAACAAATGTTACTTCCCACAGTAATTGCCATCTTCCCTGTGCAGTGACTTAGAAATGCCAGACAGTCCTAACACCACAACAATGAAAACTAAACAGAATTATTTTAATTTCCAAGAAGGAGTAGTTCACTTCGTGGTGAAGGACAGGTGCTGCTGGGTGGGACATCCCTGCTAGGCCTTGACTGCTTGTCAGGGGGCTGTAGGCAGATCTTGGATTCATGGTTTTCTAACCCCTTCTAATGTGCCTGAGCACTGGAAATGAGGTGATGTAAAACAGATCCTTTATATATATAAATAACTGCATGGACACCTGGATAAAATAATTAACAAATTTTCCAGTATCTCTACATCTCTCCAGTTGCTCCTTCATGTGTGTGTTTGTAATGCTTAGAGCAAAGTTTCTTTATTTGACTAAAACACTCTAGGATCAGGAATCCCCTGCTACCCAGGCTGGTATCTGCAGGATCCTGAAGGGTTTCACAGACAAACCCAGGGGGTGGAACACAACTTTAATGACAGCAGCTTGTAGCTCCCAGAGACTCCAGAGGATTGCATCTTCTTTCATCAGGATTGAATTTGATCCAGAGTGTACAAGAGTTGTGTTGTGCCTCAAAGCTAATTGAGGATTTGTGGCTCTCTATCTCTCAGTTGGGAAAGGTCAGCCTTGAAATTTCCAGGTCAGAGCTGCTTGACAAGGATTTAGTGTCATCCACAACTTGGGACATGCTAACAGGATTTCTTGTTTAAAGGCAGTGCTCTAACTGTAAGAAGAGGCTAAGAGGGCAAAACTGCAGGGAAAGAGATGATTCATTCCAGTGATTTATCCTTGCACTTCCAGGCTCTCAGACTCAAAGATGTTCCCTCTCATTGCACGAGGCACGACTGACCCATCTTTCCATTACTGCACTGCTGTGCTGACTTATTGCAGTTCAGGGATGTAAACAGGACAGATTTCCTAATCTGTGAGGTTATTTGCACAAAATAATTTGTACCTTCCTGGAAAGCCTGGATCCTTGCTTGGTGTAACAGGGCAGCCCAGCCAACTGCTTTGGTCACTTGGGAAACCAAAGACAACTGCAGAGATGAGCAGTGGGACACACCATTTAATTATCACCAGCCTTTCTAAGCATTCCTGTTTTTCCAAGGTTATATGGCCGGACAGTTGGAATTGGGCTGCAGCCTGGGAGAACATTACACTGGCCTCTTGTGCACCATATCCCTTTTCATTGACAAACTAACACTTCTTTAATGAGATGTGCTGAGGTTGTTATCCAAAATACATTCCTTATCCCAGATCTCATCTCTAGCACCTCTCCCAGGGGTATCTGGGAGTTTGGACCCAGACATGTTTGCAAATCCAGGGCTTGATCAGGTCCCAGTGAAGTGAATAAAAATATTGTTGGTGCTGAGCAGACATGCATTAGGCTCAAAGGAAAAGTAAAACCCATCCAAGAAAATTACAGGTTCTTTTTTCAATCAAAATATGTCTTCTCTCTCTCTCTTTAATTTTTTTCCTGCTGTTTTAACTTTATAATGAGTTTGAGTAACTGAGAAAATGTTTAAATTTTAGAATGTTGAATAGTCCTGGCCCAGTGCCCAAAAAGTTAATGTGACCTTCCTAATACATATCTCTTATTAATTTTGAACCTTACTGACTCCAGTGAAGAATTTTTGGGGATGACAGAGCACTGAAATGTGGAAAAAGAAATACCAGGAGGCTGAGAAGTGAACTGTGGTTCACAGGCATCACCATTTCCGGGAAAATGGAAAAAGAAGAATGAACACTTGCAAAACTTTGGTGAGTTAAACATTTCATAAGCACAACCTCAGGGTCATGTTAATGCAATCATTTACACGGGAATATTAATTCTTCAGGCTTTTGTGGCTTCAGTTAAGCTGTTCCTTAGAAAAATGGTGGAGTTGCAAAGCAGTCCCTGGAAGCCACAGGGGCATTTGTGCATCCCACCACCCATCCTGACCCTGCCAATGCCAAGCATTACAGGTGGGCACATCATTTTCTTCCAGAGCGGTCAGAGGTTTATTTGCTGCTTGCAGGTGAGCACGAGGCTGGAAATCTGCATCCCTGCAGAGTCCTGCAGGCAGAGAGCACCTGTTCGTGGCACTGTCCTGGGACGTGCAGAGGAAACACGAGGTAAATAAGCACTTTTGTTTGTCGCTGTGGGGTCTGGACCTCAGCAGGGGGAAATCAGTCGGAATCCTCAGGGGACTCCTTGCTGTCGCCTTCCCAGAGCCGTTCCAGCCCAGGGAACGGGGCATTTGCCATCTCCACCCATTCCATTGGCAGTGCTGAGGTGCAAAGGTGACTGCGGTCCCCTGTCCCTGCCGGAGCCCCGAGCAGGGGGTGAGGGTGCCACACGAGGGGACGGGGTCGGCGGCTCTGTGCGGCAGCGGGGGATGACCCAAGGGTCCGAAGTGATCGCGAAGGTCAGAGCCAGCATCGCCCCCTCCCCGCCCGCTGTGCCGCCGGCTCGGGGGAGCCCAGCCCGCCCCGGAGGGTGACAGCTTGCGGCACTGATGACAGCCGGGGCGCACACAAAGACGGGAGGGAAGTTCGGCGCTGCCCGGGGCCGAGCGGGGACACGGCGGGACCCGGGGGCTCCACCAGCCCGGCAGAGCTCCCCTGCTGGCTCCGGAGCCAGGCACAGACCTCCTCCTCCTCCTCTTCTTCCTCCTTCCCCGAGCCCTGCGAGCCGCAGCCCGGCAGGACGCGAGGTAAGCGCGGCTCCGGCCGGGCACATGCCGAGCCCCTTGCTGGGGCTGCCGGCGGTGCGGGGCAGCTCGCGTTTCTCACACACACTCGCACTCATACACTCGCAAACATCTCTCTCCTGCCGGTCTGTCTCCGTGCCGCGGCCCCGCTCCCTCCGGCTCCTCTCCTCTCCCGCTTCCCTCTCTCCCGCTTACTCTCGCTGGTTTTCTCCTCCCCCCGAAGCCGCCCCCCCTCCCCCTTTCCGCCTCCCCTCAAGTTTCTCCTTCTGTCTGATTAAATGAGAAGGAAGTGTGGGAGTGGTGGTTTTGAAGCTCTCCCTTTAAGAGGCAGCCTGCAGTGACGAATTGTTGAAATTGCCATTGCAGGATGGCATTCCGCTATAAATTCATTGTTCCACCTCCTCTCATCTTCACATTTCTCTCCCTTCTCCTCTTGTTCACATCGACAGACTGGGGATAACAACAACAACAACAGGAAAGATACAGGGAGGGGGCTTTTACAGAAATCCAGGACGTTTTACGCTTCTTGGGCTTTTTTTTTCCTCTCTTTTCTTTTTTTCCTTTTTTTTTTCTTTTTAACCATCTCACCGGAGACCATCCAGGCGGTTTTGGGTGCCTGAATTTCTTCTCTCCCCTTCTCCTCCTCCTCTTCAAAACAAAAGAGGGCAAAAGAAGGAAAGGAGCCTACCGGAGCCCGAGGAAGTGCCGAGTCGCAGCAGACCTGCCTCTGCTGCTGCTGCTGGTGATGATTCGGTGACTATAGCAGCGAAGTGGAAGGGGAGTGGGAAGTGCTCAAACTTCTCTACTTGCCGGCTCCGAGCCGTCTCTCCTCCTTTTCCTCTCTCCTCACTTTGCCTCCCCGGCAGCAGCGATTTGGGAATTTTTTTTTTTTTTTTGCCTCTCTCTCCCTCTCTCTCTCTCTCTCCCTTTCCATGTGCTCCCGGCTCTTCCCTGCAGAGAAACACAAAGTTCACACGCGAGCGGCTTTTGTTGACATTTTTTTCTCTCCCACTCACACTTGACTTCGGGAGGGAGAACTTTTTTTTTCCTTACTTTTTTCTTGTCCTTCCTTTTTTTTTTTTTTTTTTCCCTTTCCCGCACCTCTCCTTTTCTCCCCATCCCTTAACCCCGCTGCCGCGCTCCGCCGGCCGGCTCCCGTTATTCCCATCACCATCGCCACCACAATCACCACTCCCGCCGCCGCGCTGCCCCGCGCCGAGGCGAGGATGCTGCCGGCGCTGCTGTGGCTGCTGCTGGCCGCCCGTGCCGGCCGCGCCGCGCCGCCGCCGCCCGCACCTGCCGAGCCCGGCGCGCCGCCCGCCCGGCCCCCCGCCCCCGGGCCGCCCAGCGGGGCCGTGCGGCGCCTCGACCCGACCTACGCGGGGGGCGGCAGGGCGGGCTACGTGCTCTACGCCGGGGGACAGCGCTTCCTGCTCGACCTGGAGCGCGACGGGCCGCGCTGCCACTACCGCGGCACGGTGGACGGCAGCCCGCGCTCGCTCGCCGTCTTCAACCTCTGCGGCGGCCTCGACGGCTTCTTCGCCGTGGGCAGCTCCCGCTACACCGTGCGCCCGGCGCGCCGCGCTCCGCACGCAGAGGCCGCGGCGCGGATCTACGGCGAGGGCCCGGCCCGCGCCCCCCACGTCTTCCGCAGGGAGAGCTTCAGCTTCGAGACGGTGCCGGCCCGCACCAGCTGCGAGACCCGGGACCCCGCCAGGCCGGCGGGCGGGGACGGGCGGCGGCGGCGGCGGCGGCGCTCCGTGTCCCGGGCCCGGCAGGTGGAGCTGCTGCTGGTGGCCGACGCCTCCATGGTGCGCAAGTACGGCAAGGGGCTGCAGCACTACCTGCTCACGCTGGCCTCCATCGCCTCCCGGCTCTACGCGCACGCCAGCCTGGAGAACCACGTGCGGCTGGCCGTGGTGAAGGTGGTGGCGCTGGGCGACAAGGAGAAGGGGCTGGAGGTCACCAGGAACGCCGCCACCACGCTCAAGAACTTCTGCAAGTGGCAGCACCAGCACAACCGCCTCGACGACGACCACGAGGAGCACTACGACGCCGCCATCCTCTTCACCCGCGAGGTAGGCACGGCCCCGGCCGTGGGCATGGCCATGACAGCGACCAGGTGTCCCTCGGGCCTGGGGTGGCGGGGCTGCCGGAGCTCCGGCCACCCTGGTCGCCTTTGCCCAGTGGTTGCCTCCCCACTCATGGATCCGGCTCGTCCATCGGGCAGTGCAGCATCTCAGGGACCGGCACCCACTGCCGGGCATGGCAGAGGGCTTGAGATCTGTGTGTGTCCCCTGCCCTGTGCTGTCACCCCGCCGTGGGTTCACCAGTGCAGTGCTGGGACCCCGGCCCGGTGGAGAGGTGGGAGCTTTGGTCGTGGGACTCAGCTTGAGATCCCTTTGCTTCACATGTGACTTTGTCCTGTCTGTCCATGTGACATATTTAACACCCTCTGCAGAGGTGGTCCAGTCGGAAAGGGTTGATAACACTTCCTACGCTAAATTAGTCTCCGAACAAACCAGCTAGGGAAGGTGGTGGAGAGCACACCTTAAGAGCACAGACGTCGTGCTTGTGGAGCACATCGGGACGCTGTTTGCAGCAGGGATAGCTGCACAAGCAGCGCTTGTGGTTCAGGTGTTGGACGTAAGTGCAGCCCGCAGGTAAACAGGCTGGGTGGTGGCAGGGGCTGCGGTCCCTGTCCTGCCCCCCAAGCGGGTGCCCCCATCAGCTGTGGGTTGGATCTGCTCGTGTTGCCCATGCAGAGCCGTGCCTTGCTGCTCCACGCTGGGTTGTTGATTAATTGCATTGCCAGAGGTCGTTAAGGGACATTGCTCTGGTAGACATGTGGCCGAGTTTATGCAATGAAGTTCTGTAAGAATATCCCTTCAGCGGTTTGGGTTTGGTGTTTTCTTTTTTTCCCTTTCCCCAAGTACGAAAAAAATAACTGCATGACTTTCCGTTCATTTGAGTTCTCCGGCTTTGCTACATGGTAGGAGCCTGCCAAAAAGGATGCTTTGGATGGTTTGTGGAAGGAGTTGCTCCAGAAGGGAGAAAAAAAGCGCCTGGCTTGCTTTTATAGCTGTAAATAGTTGAAATATTAGGTTCTGTGTCAGGCATCACTTGTACAACAGGAGCCCTTTTTAGCAGGTTAAAGCCCATCAGTGCAATTTGCAAGCTTTCATTTTATTATCGCTATAACCTGAATGAAAGCAGGCTACCTAGACTGGATCAGAGTGTCTTTGGGTTTGCTGTAAACATCTTTTCCAATGGTTTATTAAGCCTGGGCCAGAATCCATCACTTTTCTCTGAAGAGTTTCTCTGCCACTATTCCCACTTATTTCCCTGGGCTATATGACAATTCTGAAACTCTTAGGGTGGCGGCTGTGAACCTTCAAGTCAATTATTAAGTTAATTTGGACTGAGATAGGATGTGACTTTAAAGTGCAGTTGCTTTCCAGCTGCTTAGCTGTAATTCTTTGCATGGACACCCTCCTGCCAGAATAAGAGGGTGCTGCTAATCAGTAATCCGCTTTCAAAGACTCGCGAGCAATGCATAGAATTACCTCTCTGGGCTGTAAGTAGTGCATAGAATAAACAAATCACCACGGTTCCTGTGCTCTCCTTGCACTCTTGAGATGCAAATGTTGCTTGCACTGCTGCTCAGGGCTGCTTCATGAGAAGAAAAGCGCAGGCTTGTGTTTTCTTGGTTTACATTTTAACAGCTTTAACTCTGGGATTAGCTGCTCGATGCAGTTCAGGACAACTTAATCTGCTTTAATGCTTTGCTCTGTGCACACGGACATTGTTTGGCAGCGTTTGACTGAATTAAGAACCAGACTGGAGTTTCTTGCTACATGTGTTCATGATGTTCTTTGCAGAGAGTGTGTGTGAGCCCACACGATTTTTATATGCTTACCCTTGAAATGTCAACATGAATCTATTTACTCCCCGCGGAATGTAAACACGAAAAGGGTTAAAGGATGAAAAAGCAGTGGAGATGTTTCCTGGAGAAAACAGCCCCGCTTTGAACTACAGGAGAGATTTTTTCCAGTTTAGCTTTTCAATGAGAGTGGCAGCAGTTGGCAGGAGAGCGCCACTTTTACAACTCTGTTTTGGATGGATGAAGTTGGTTGCTAAGCTACAAGACGCTGAGCCGTGGCTGCGTGTTTTGATGGGCTCTGAATATGGTCATGCTGATTTTTGAGCATCCAGATGTCTCTTTCTAAGTGCCTTGGGTTTCAGGCACTGGGCAGACGTGTGAGGTACATTTTCCATCCTTGTTTACTGACTGAGGCCACCTTGAGCTTCGTGTTGTCAACAGAATAATATTTGCAGATCGTTTGGCAGCTGAATGCGTGGCCTCAGCTGTATGGAATTGGCTTTGTGTAGATAGAATCTGCATTGTGCATGGCTGATGCCATACAAATCCCTCAATAATTATTATCTTTGTTCCGGAGTGACATTTGATTGGATGGTATTTTTTACACCAAAACAGGGCTTTATTTGAGTTCCTGTATGAAGGAAGAATCCCGAGAGAATTCAACAGTGTTACTTCATCCTGTTTGCTTGTCTTTACTTCTTTAAAGATAAATTAGTAACCATTGGTAGACTGAGAGTGCATCGGCAGCTCTCCTTTTTTATTAAATTAGCGGTGGTTCACATTATATAAGTTAAATTTATGGTTGTCATCATCATCATCATCATTCATACTAGGAAGTACTTCCTATGTAAAAAAATTTCGAAGGAAATTCACTGATTCCGAGTTAAAGCCGGCACTTCTTCTGGTCATAGTCTGTATTTAATTGGATAAGGGCTTTAAAGCAATTATTCCGCAGATCTCAGTAAATCAATACGAGCATGAATTCAGTTTGGGGTGATACAGGCAACATCTTAAAGCTGGTTTTAGGCTTTGTGTTGCTTATCAGTGATGGCAAGGGTCCATTAGCTGCAGTGGGTCCTCTGTTTACTCTGTAAATTCTAGGATAACTAGAGTTACATGTCTGGCCAGTGTGAAAACCTTACGTGGACGCAGAAATCATCTGTCACTAAATATTGCAGAAATTTAGTTGGATTCCACAGTGATTTTTTAAATCTGATAATGAGAAGTGTATTTTCCCAGTGGTTACAATCTGTCATTTTGACCCATGAGGAGCAGGATGAAGCATGGCAGAGGTCTGACTTGATAATAAGCAAACGTGATAATTTTCTGATATTTCTAAATTTCCTCAAGGCAGCTTGACCATAAGAGCCTTAGAGAGCACATGGGTCTCCTGCTGTTGGATTACTTTGTGGTTGAGTCCTTGGCAGCAGCTGTAAATCTTTGGGTCTCATGAATCCTGGAGCATCCTCCATGGATATGGTGGTGCAAGGATGCAATTCTGGTGGCCAGGTGAGTCTCCTCCACCCCGTAGAGAAGTGGCTTTTTAGTGGGGAGGAGGAGGAGCTTGCTAAGCCCTCCTTCTCTGGAGATTACATCACTTGTTGTCCATGGCACTGAAGTCAAGAGCAAATTTAGAGTTTATTCTGTTTCAGCCCTTTTTATAGTGAACAGTTTGCAGGAGCTGGAAGCAGATCATCTTCAGATTTTTATGGGTGCAACAAAACACTTGCCAGATTATTTGCCACAGTAGCAAAACAGATTAGATGGGACTTGCAAACTGCAGTTGAACTCACACTGTTCTTTTTCTGTGGTCCAGCCTGCTCTGCAATTATCCTCTAGAATCCATCCAGTCTATTTCATTAGTGGCCCTTAGTTTAATTTCAAGTGAACTATTGAATGCATTTGGACAAAATCCAGCTCTCTTCCTTCTCCCCCCGTTCTGAATCATCTGAAGATTAAAATAGATGTTTCTCACAGTAGATACAGACATTAGGAGCAAGGAAAAAATCCTTTCCTAAGTGCTTGTTAGAATCATCTGTGATAGTGCCATCATGCCTGGCTCGAGCAGAGGGTTCATGCTAGAACCAAAGGCCACTGTCCTGCCTTTTTCTACACAGTAATTATATGAGGCTGGTGTGTTTGATTTAGTTCAACTGTCCATCTGGCAGTGCTGTTGAAATTTAACAGCAAGCTTTGTATTATCTCAGCTCTGTAGATGATAATTTCACTGCATGGAGCACATGCTTTCTTTGGCTCTACTTCTTTCTTCTTTTTTTTTTTTTCCTCTTTTCTCTGTTATCATCTTCCAACAATTATTATCCCCTAGCAGTAAAACAAGTCACTGTACCAATGGTCAATAGAATAGATTTCACTGTGAATTTTTATTACTCTGAAGAAATTGTAGTGTGATGTGTATACCAGTTTCATAGTGTTTTCACCAACTTTGTTGCACATTTAAATAATGTCTCTAGGGAAAACAAAGTGGGACATAACTGATAGAGGAGAAGTTTGATTCACCCTGGTCTGGAGAGATGGTGTGGAGCTTCCCCACACAGGAACTGTGGGCTTAGGCAGGTTAAATCACACATTTTTACTTGGTCATCAGTCACCAGTTTAATAACTGAAACTTCTCCCCATGCAGATCCCAAATGCTTTATTTGCATTTTGTCAGTATTTTAAAATAACCTGTAGTTTGTATAACTCCGCTGTTTGTTTGTTCTTTTTTTTTCCAAATGCTCAAGCCCCAGGCTCATATTTATGATATGAACCCCAGAAACAAATTACCTCAATTTTTAAGCTAAACTGTTGGGAAGTACATTTGGGTTTGGCAGTTATCACCATTGTGGTTTTCCTCAGAAGGTGACCAGGCTCTGGCCACCCTCTCAAAATGTGGCCAAGGGAGGACAGAGCACTAACCCAGGGAGCCTTTCGTCACCCAGGATCCTTTCTGCTCATGGGAACATTGCATTTGAAACCCCGTGTGCCGTTCCAGGCTGCTGTGACATCAATGAAACGTCACCCACTTTGCAGAGGAGCTGAAGAGGGTGGATGTGTGTGTTCTCAGCACCACCTGACCCCACCCTCCTGCCCAGCCTGCGGTGGGAACGCTGCTGCTGCAGGAAATCGGAAAGTCGTGCCTAATTCCTTCCTCTGCTGCAGGGATTTTAGGTCTGTATCGCCCACCTCCCAGGAGAGGTCCTTAACCAGGAGGTAGTAAGCTGTTCCAGGTGTTAAGGAAGCTTTCCACCCCTCTGACCAAAGGTCTGTCACTGTTTAGTGAGTAATTCATATGGTGAGAACGAGGGGAATCGTGACCTAAAGCCGCCTGAGTGGAGCGCAGTGCCTGGAGCAAGGTGGTCTGGGTTCCTCAAGCATGGAGAGGAACTGTTTCTGTGATTTACCACAGGCTGTTCAGTGGGAAGGAGGAAGGATGAGCAATAGGGACCAAAAATTGGGTCACTTCCCTGACTGCATTTCAGGGAAACCTTGGGCTCAGGGGCTGCTCCAGGAGGAGCCACAGCTCCCTGTGTGCTTGGCAGGAGCCTGGTGTAGACCATAAAGTGCTCTCCTGAAAAAGATGCTTCTAGTTGGCCTCGTCCCTGGAAGGAATTTGTAGCTGTATCACGTTCTTAGTGGGAAAAGGTTTGAGCTGATGAGCTGCTGCAAAAGGACCAGTGAGCAGAACTCTAAGGGTTTTAGCTGTGCTTTACAAGAAGGTGATGTGCAGCTTGACCTGCACAAAGCCTCATCCTGTGGGTTCTTCTCATCCTGATCTGAGAAGTTCTGTGGGCTCGGCTTCCCTCAGGGCCAAAGGTGGAGAAACATCTGAATTAAACATCTGAACTCCAGTAAGCAAAGTGCCCAGCTGTTCCAGCCCATGGAACTGTGGCACTTTGGGGCCCACGGGGTCCCAAACTGCAAGCCCTGTGAGGGGTAGATAGCTCAGAAGACATGAGGACATTTTCTTCTGCCCTTAAATCCCACCAAAGTGTCCATGTTAGTGTTCACATGGTGTTTTGGATCTGGTCAGCGGGCTCTGACCTAATCCCAGGTTTCACTAAACAGTTTATTCTTGTTTTGAAACCTACTATAGAACACATTTCAGGTGAAATGAACTCCCTGCTCCAACCAGGACATGGTGACAGTTACCTCCCTTCACAACAAGGCCATGTACACATGGCAGCCAGCCAGCTGCTCCTGATGGATTTGGGATGTCAAGAAAACTTGGCCTCTAATGAGCTGTCTAATTAACTACTAGACTTGTGATGTACAGCTTAGTTTTACTAAGCCATTCCTTTGCCAAAGCTTAGCATCACTTGCCTCCTGCATAGCAAATGCATTGCCTTGTCATTCTTCTGTTTTGAAACTACTGTAAAGCAGATCAAGTGCCATGCTGCTTTCCTTCTTTAGAAATAGCAAAAAACATTCTTTAACTCTTCTGCCACTGTTTCAAGGCAATTGAGCATCCGGATCTGAGTAGCTGATTGACTTTCTAGTAGAAGCAAAAAAAAACCCAGAGTGAAATAATCATTGGAAACTGGTTTTGTGGATCACGAGTCCCCTCTTTCCTTGTGCTATAGCTGGAGTATGAAAAGTTGAGGCTACCCACACAGATTTTTTGAGATTGCATCATTACATTGAAGCCTGTTTTTAACACAAAGTTAAAATATTTTCCAGGGAATTAAAACCTTCTACTGTACTCCCAGAAAGTTTACTTTATGACTGCTTTCCAGGACTGCCCAGGAAAGCAAAACACAAATCTAACTATTGATTCTGGTAATGAATAATCCATAGTCAGTGTTTGATGGCTAAGCAGGCATGATTTTCAGTAACATCACTTGCAGTCAAGCTGTTTGGAAGCTGGTATTGGTGAATTGACCCAAAAACAAATTTTTCAGAATGTTTGTCTCAGAGATGCCACTTGATAGGCTGCAGTTCTAGTAAGAGAAATATATTCCAGTTCAAATTATGCAGAGGCAGGAGAAGTAAAGAAATGAATGATAATGACAACATAGAGGAGCCCTCAGTAATTTGCCTAAATGATTATTGATAATGTCAGCCTTAGCTGCATATCAGCATCCTCAGGCAGCCACTGAGGGCTGGAATTGGCAGGGAAGCTGTTATGGGGATGTCTGTGGGCTGCCCATCTGCTGCTAGAGCAGGGCATGCCATGGCTGTGCTTTGGGCAGAGCATGGATTGAGCATCCTGGTTTTCCCTGCCAATTCCAGCTGAGGTGAGATTTTGCTAACATGTCTGCCCTAATGTTCCATGTTCCACACATCCTGTCAGAATTGGCTCGGTGGAAGTTTACAAGATTTCCTGCTTAGAAAAATTATATTTTTTAGTTATATTTGAGTCATCAAATCTGGTGAATCATTGTGAATGAAGTCTGGCTGTGGCTACGGGTGTAAATTCCCAGTGTAGCTGCTTCTTGTGTGCAAATGGCAGTAAATCCTGAGTGCCATGAGGCATCTGGGTGCTGATACCATTGTGCCACGCTGGGAGCAGCACTGATGTCAGTGCCTATGTAATAATGACACCCAAATACCAGAAAAGACTGAGTGACATAGAATCAGCATGCAGAGACAAAGCCTGAATTAATGCAGTTTATACTATTTTGGCACTCCCAACCTGTCTAGCCCTCCTCCAGTAAGCTGCTTTCTGTCTGATTTATGTGCTTTTTGGTGCTTGTGTAAGAATTTCAGTTCAGCTGCTTGTGTGGATTCAGGTCCCATTGCTCCATCACAGAATCACAGGATCAATCTTGTTGGAAATGACCTCTGAGATCATTGAGTCCAACCTTGTGCTAGACCATGAGTGCCACATCCAGTCTTTCCTTGAACACCTCCAGGGATGGGGACTCCATCACCTCTCTGGGCAGCCCCTTCCAATATCTAATCACCCTCTCTGTGAGGAAATTCTTCCTAAATATCCAACCTAAACATCAAGCTTAAGACGGTGTCTTCTTGTCCCGCTGATACTTTGCTGGAAGCCAGAACTGAGCCTGAATTTTCTCTTCCATGTAATGCTTCGTATTTTTAGCTTGAAAATTTCCTTTGTTGGGGAAAAAACCCCACCTTTTTTCTTCTTTTTTTTTTTTTTTTTTGTGTGTGTTTGTAAAGAGATGCTCTGTCAGAGTATCTGTGCACTAGGTGTGGTTTTCTTTGACTTCAGTGAGGTTTGAATCCTGTGCTTTTCCATGTTTGCCTAACCTGTCATAACCAGTGAACACTGCTGCTCTGAGGCCTCCTATAAGGTGTCTGTTATTCAGGTGGATTAATTATGAAAGGCTTCATAAAAGGACGTCCTTGTAGAAAGAGATCTGAAGGGAAGAAGAGAATCTTGAAAATGAAGGGAAAAAGTTCTCTTTGATCATTTTGATAATAACATTTGTCATGGCTTAAAAATGACAATTTCATTCAACCACAATGAAATGAAGTGTTCCAAATAGCATGGCTCCTACTTCTCCTTCTCATCTAAAAATGTGCATATATGCACATGCACACGAATATTCTTCCCTCTGCTTCAACAGAAGCATGGAGAAATTGCTGCTGGTGATAAAAACACAATGTCTGACCAAAGTTGAAAGACAAAACCTGATGCTGCCTGCATGGTTTTTGGAGACATCTCATATCTACATGTGGGAGGGGTGGTTAAGTGGTTGGGATTTTGCACTTTCTCTGACTCTCAGCAGTCTCTGAGAATTGCTTAATACTTGGTATATTATTGGGTAAGACACTAGTAATTGTACTGCTTGACAGATGTGGAATGCGGTTTCACATGTAGCAATCTCTTTTCTGTTAAATGAGAATATAGGATTGGCGTCAGAAGAGCAAGGTGATCTCTGGTTCTGGAGGACTGATCAGGAAGCTGAAGCTTTCTCTGGGCTTTGATTTACCTTCTGTAAATTAAGAGAATTTTCTGGTTTTATTGTCAATGAGGAAATGCTTCCAAAGGATATTTTCAGAGCCTACCTCAATGCATGTGTGAGCATCACAGAAATACGAATTTACAAATTTACCTTAACAACAATTAGCTGCAACAACTAACAACAATTAGCTGCAGAACGTATCCAAAACCTGTTAAAAGTCCATGGAAATACTCCCACTGACCTTAACATCTTTAGCTGTAACTTACACTGATATTTTCATCCAGGACCTGCCATGGGCAAAGGCGCCTTTAGGTGGTTGTTACTGCTGGGTGTAAAAATTCATTGTAACAATTTTTTTTTTCCTTTTTTTTTGATTTTTCTTTTCCCCTTCCCGGGCAGGATTTATGTGGGCATCATTCCTGTGATACCCTGGGAATGGCAGACGTTGGGACCATCTGCTCCCCCGAGCGCAGCTGCGCGGTGATTGAAGACGACGGCCTCCACGCAGCCTTTACGGTGGCTCACGAAATTGGTATGCAGTGCCTTTTCTGTTCCCCTGCCAAGGCAAACACTCCCAACAGCTGCATTAGGAACCAAAATACCCCGCAATTAATTCCAGATTTCCCCCGGCCCCAGCCCCGCCTGGGGATTAGGGCTGTGTACATATGCACTTCAGGGTTAACTAATAAGGGATCAGAAGGCAGGGGAAGGCGCACAGTAGGTGTTTCCTCCCTGACAGTGGCCTTGCTAAGCAGCAGTTGAAGTGAAAATTCAAAGGCTGCAGCTACTGTCCAGAGATGTCAGTGCATGGCCCTCCTGAGAAAGCTTTTGGCCCATCTGTTGTAATTGGCATGCCCTTATTTATTGGAAAATAAGTCACATTTTTCAACTTGTTGCCTGTGCTGTTGTTAGGAAGCTTTTTTCCTTGTATTACCAGCACAGAAAAGCTTTTGTGGCAAAAACCCAACATAATTCCAGCATCTTTGTAACTGTACAGAAATTAATTTTAAATCCTGTAATAAGTGAAATAGTATTTAGGTGATAAAGGTTTGGTCACAGACCTGTTTAGCTTTGTTTCATTTTCCAGCTCAGAGGACAGCAATTAAATTAGAAGTCTTGCATGTACCCTTCAGGAGGGTTTAAGACAGAATTAGTGACAGAAGAAAGTTTGTGTTCTGGGATATGAGTTATTATTATGTCATGATATAACCCTTCAAGAGAGATGCTGCCATCTTGATAATGTTTAATTTGTTGATGTTTTCTGAACTGTGTTCACTGGAAATACATTTGCTATAAGACTGTTCACTTTGGGGAGTGAACAGCAATTTGAAAGTAGAGAATGTTTTTTTTTTCTTTTTTTATAAAATATTCTTGGAAGGAAATAATCAGGAAAGGAGAACTTTCAGAGAGAGCCAGCTGCTGAATTGCCTTGTACCTCGTGCCAAACCAAAGTAAAGTTTGCTTTGGGAGTATCATTGCGGTGGTTCCATTTTCAAGGAGCTTGCAGGTAGAGCCTGAGATCTGGGTGCCTTGTACCTATGGCTGAGGAAACAGAAGTCACCAAGGATGGAAAATGACCTGACTCTTCAGAGACAAGTGAACCTAACCCTTCTCTTATGGCTCTGCAAAGGAATTGTATTAGTGGTGGCTGGAGAAGGGATCAGGTATTGCATGAAAACATTAAATACTATGGCAGGATGAGTCCCCAAAGCAAAAATTTTATTTTAGTAAGCAGTAATGTCACAACAAAAGAAAAAGTCCTCTGGAATCAGTAATTCAGTGCATTTAGAGAGAGCTACAGCAATGTAGAAGGACAGATTCAGTTGGGATGTGGATGTGGATGCTGTGAGTGAGCCATCACAAACCTGGGATGGGTTAAATGGCAAACTTAGCCTGTCATTCCCAGCCAGAGTGCTGGGGACACTGCTTGTGTCCCTTGCACCCAGAAGGGATGTCTCTGCTGAGGGTCATGGATAGGGTTGGGTGAGGAGCCCTCTTGTTGGATCTGGTAGAGCATTGTCTCTCCTGCCATTTTGTCAGCAATAAATATACTTTTAGGTAGACTAAAAATGAAAGAACACAGATCAGTAAAGATAGGGATGAGCAGCAAATGTTCACATTGTTACCTTGAATTCCACACAGAGAAAATATAAGCAAAAGTGAATTATTTTTAGTGATCTAGAAGCACATTTTGGAGAAAGGCCATTTACATACCTAGGCATTTACAGGAATCTCTAAAAACTATAATTTTCAATGTAAAAAAGGCATGAATTGAAATGAATAAATAAGAACCCTAATGGACATAAAACCTCTAGTTTGAGGCTGTTTAAAATAACATCCTCTTTTTTTTCCCCTCCTCACCAGAAGTTTTTAAGAAAGGAGGGGTGTCAAGTCACAGAATGATCTTTGTGTGTGTGGCCTGAAGTGGGAGAAGCTGAGAAGAAAACACAGCTAAAATTGCTTGAGTACTTAAATTAAATCAAAGGTCAAGAAAGGATGAAAAACAAAAGTGTGGCATGGATACCCTTTAGTTAAGCACTTTGGGGAAACCTTGCTGTATTTTATTTGGAGACCAGATTTCTTCCTGCAATCCAGAAATCTCCAAGTTCCCCCTGTCCTGTGGGCAGGGTGTAACTTTAATTTTACAGTGGCTCAGTTCCTCAGTCAGAGGGAATGCTCTGAGCCTGAGATGTTGTTTTCTTTCCCTTGGAAGGTCAAGGTGAGCCCCTGGCTGAAGCAGAGTCACTCTCAGGGGTTTTTGTGCATGGGGAGCAGATGCAGCATCTTTAGCATGGACTTGGTCCTCAGAGTGTCCTCACTGTGACTTCCAGGGGATCTGAATGCTCCTTCTTCCCCCCTGAAGTATCCAAGAGCATTTTCCAGGCTCAGATTCTTTCTCTGGAAGGCAACCAAAGTAAATTGAACTGCAGCTCAACCCGACAGGAGGATGCACAGCCCGGGGCTCAGGTTGGATTGGTCACAGGAAGGCAAAAAGCAGCTTTGCTGCAGAACAAACCTGCTGCTTCTGCTGCCAGGGGTTCTGCCACATCACCTGGGAGATGTTTGTTTTATTTCTTCCAGATAAAATAGGTGGATTTTGACCCGTGGTTTTTGAGGGGGAGTGAATGAATGAGCAGCAATAGGCAAAACCTCCACAGGCTTGCGAAGGAGAGCACAGGGAGGGATAGATGTAAATTCTTGGCATAAATGATTAGCTGGCAATAAGAGGTGGAGATCTTTATATAAAGTTTGATAAGGTAGGACCTAAATCTTGTCCTACTTGTATGTAGGAAAATCAGTAATAGCTTGTCTCCAATGTCAAATGGAAAAAAGGAGGATAATGCAACAAAAAAACTGGAAAGAAACCTTGTAACTTTGAATGTGGTAATCCAGTTTCTCCTCAGAATACAGGGGAGCAGTGCTAATACCTAAATGTTATTTTGCAATCTCAGCCTGCCAAGACATCCAGCCACCAACAGGAAATCCATATCTGGTTATTTTCTAGCAGGGGACATGCTGCTGTCAGTGGGACAGCAGTAGCTTCATTTTCTCAAAAATAACCCCCTGGATTCTTGCCTGAAGTCATCACCCTATTGTGGCATATGGATGGTTTTTTTTATTTCTAGCAACTCCTTCAACTACACCTCCAGAGCTCTGCAGAGCTGTCTGAGCTTAGGCACAGTACATAGGCATTCTCCAAGCCTTTGTTATCAGCAGCCTATTGTCTGCATAAAATGATGTTTCCTTGCTTCATGCACTTCCCTGCCTCTTGGGGACATGTGGAGGAGAGCAGTAAAGAACCTGAGATTGCTCATAACCTCAACAGTTATTTGATGTTTTACATAGGGCAGCACTACATTGCTTCTCCATTGTCCCTTATTAAAATAACCATCAGGAAGCAATACCAATGAGATTGGCACTGGACTTTTGGATCAGAGATTTGTTACTTTGACAGTGCTGAATTATAAACGAGTGAAGATCAGCATGATCCAGCACCAGCCACAGGCACAGTCAGTCAGCTGAGATTACATTTGACATATTTTGTGATGGGATGTTTCCATGTTTTGCAGCTGGTGCTGTGTTTGACGTACAGTCATGGTCAGAAGTTTGTGCTGGAGTCCCACTGTGTTTGGCACAGCCGTACCACCACCCTAAACAGTTTGCCATCTACAAAAGCAAAATGAGAAGAGTTCAAGGGGATCTAAGTGAAGCTACTGCTTTTTTTAGCTATAGGAAATTTCCCCAAATCACAAAGGGAATCCCAGGGAAAGCCAAGAATTAAACCTGGGTTTTGATCTAGAGTCTCCTGAGTTTTGCTCTGGTCCTTAAGTACAAAAGCATCCTTCCTGCAGCCTTCAAGCAGGCAAAGCTCCAGTTCAGCTCAGTGGGAGTTACATGGGTCTAACATTTTAAATTATATTTATCTCTGTTCTTTCCATCAATCTTAAGAAACTTAATTTTTTAAAAAGAGGCAATACAGCCTTTTTTTCTCAGTGATAATGTTCATTTGACCTTTTGCAATGTTCCTACTCCTCTGTTACACAAACACTCTGGCATGCAGTTACTCCTTCTGTCCTCCTGAGTAATATGGTTTACTGATGTTCTTTCCAAGTATTTTATTTTTAGGCTATAGCTTTAGCATTGCTGCGTGGAACTAATTAAACCTTTGTTCATTAGTTGCCTTTTATCTTTCACATGTGACTTTTGGGGGAGGCAAGGCCAAAGGGTGGGATAAAAGCAGCCTTCAAATACGTTAAAAAAATTGCTGCAAAAATTTGCATAATAAATCATTCCCCATGTCCACCTGGGACAGCACAAGGGATAATGGCCTAAAGTTGCAGCAGGGGAGATTTGCTTTAAGCATTAGCCAAGATCATGTGAGCAGGACAGTGGAGGACAGGAGTGAAGTGCTTGGGGAGGCTCTGGTTCTGGAGGTTCACAGGAGCCATCTGGCTGAGGCAGCTGTGGCTCAGGGGATGCTGATCCTGCCCCAGGGCACAGGGATGCACAGGATGCCTTTCCAAGGTCTCTGCTCAGCATCATTTTCTGTGGTTATGAGGAGTTATCACAACATCCTCCACAGCTGGGCTGTGTAATGCCTGAAACCAAGGGGCTGCACAGAAACTAAAACTCAAAAATCATGGAATAGTTTGGGTTGGAAGGGGCTTTAAATATTATCCAGTTTCACCCCCTGCCATGGCCAGGGACATCTTCCACTATTCCAGGCTGCTTCAAGCTGGCCATGGACACTTCCAGGGATGGGGCAACCACAGCTTTTCTGTGCCAGGGCCTCACTGCCCTCACAGCCAAGAACTTTCTTCATATATTAAATAATGGGTTTGATACCAAATCTTTGCTAGCATGACATCATTCTGTGGCCTCTGTCACCACTGAGGACACAAGTGTTGTGAGCACTGTCAGCAAAATGTATTAGAGAGAATAATTTTCTGTAAAAAAGGCATTTTAGAAGTGAGGTATTGCTCCTGGCATCTCTGCTCAGGTGGTTCACTAAAATCCATCAGAATACCATGA